CTGGACTGTTTGTCTCTTACCACCATGACGTCGCTCTCTACGGCCCTTCACTCGAGTGAGTCAAGCGTAGAAGTCACATAGCTCTTTGAGCTCGAACTCGAGAAGCGGACCCACCTTATCGTGGCCATGAAGATTAAGGTGGAGGTGACAAAAAGCTGCGTTCATACTCTGCGGCAGCGTCCACCACCGAGCAATAGCGTTCACCGGCGTTCCGATTATCCGGCAGCGTAAGCGGGTAAGAATTAGAGGTATCGATATAGGGCCTGCCGGAGTCTTCCAGCGACCACATTCGGGAAAGGAGAGTATGAAGCGATAGCTAAAGGTTGTAGAGTAGGGGGAGATAGGAGGGTAGCAGACTGCTGGTAGACGGTATGAGGCGATAGGAAGGTAGAAGGCAGCTGGTACTCTCCTATCGCCCCATATTCTCTACAAGCGTCTGCTGCTGGTCGCTGGTGGACGCTGGAAGACGCTGGCAGACGCTGCTGGTCGCTAGATCGATACCTATACTTCCCTAGCCCTCGAGACGCTGCTGGTCGCTGGTGGACGCTGGCAGACGCTAGATCGATATCTATACTTTCCTAGTCGCTGACGCTGCCGGACGCTCGGAACGCTGGTGGACGCTATTGGTCGCTGGTGGACGCTGCCGCAAAGTATGAACGCAGCCTTAGGCCCCTTGGTACAAATATAGCTGAGGGGGAGAGAGCATATATCGTCGCGTCTATGTTGATGACCGAGGTTCAGACTCAGTAGGACACAGCCGGCTAAAATTTAACTAGCCCACTAGAACCTGGACTCATCGCTTTCTGGGCGCTGAAGCCAAGCATTACACCACCAAAACCGGTCAAGAGTGATGTGCCATGTACAAAACGGGATTAAAAACTGAGTGGTTATTCCTATTTGGGGATACGTGAGCCAATAGAAAAAAAACGAAGGAAAAAAGGTATCAAAACATAAGAAGAGAGTGTTAGAAGAAATGCATTACTAGGTCGTATTTTACAAAATTGAGAACAAAATCTTTCCTTGAACGAAAAAATGTCGCACCTTTCTCGAGCACATAGCACAGACAGAACTCTTGCTGCTCGGATGGACTTCGAATGTTGAGCTCCATGCACAGCTCCTCAAAACGAAAGGTTTCGAAAAACACTCTCTAATATTACTCGGTGGGAGGAGCTAGGAAACGTCGCCATTAGCACGTCCTTTCTCAGATTTGAAGGGAGTGCAAAAGGCGAGAAGAGGACACATCGCAGTGTCCAGTCACATCGCATCCCAGCTCCGCCCAACTGGCGATCACTTACGGTTTCATTGAAGATTTACGCGACAAAATTAGAAACATGGAAAACGACAAAGAGGAAAGAACGAAAATTATCCTACTCTAATGGCTTCTTCAACCACAGTAATACTCTTCGTGTTTACCACTTTCTTGTTACCACCTGGAAGGGTGTAGACTTGACGTTTCAGGATCTTGCCATTCTGAAAAGAATCATGTAATGAAATAGTAAGGAAAATTCACTGGACTGTTGCATTACTAAGTACCGTTATCTCTTCCACTTCCATACCGCTTAGCAAGTATTTTCGGCCACCATAGCGCATGGTTTGGTTCAAGTTTTGTAAACACAATTGGGCAGTACCTGAAATTATCGTCTGGCATCAAATCGATCATGGAACTAATTTTTAATGAACCAGAAGCAGCCCAAGATCTTAAATCCAGGGGGACCCACCATGATATGCTCTTCTGTGATCATCAGCATTTTCAGCGAGATAGTTAATCAAATAAGGTCGTAGAGCTAGGGAAGCTTTCGAAGTAAGCAGTGAGTATTGAAAAAAGTCGCCATCCTCGAATCGAACTGTCGGGCCTGAAATATTTTATCAGTGCTGTGGCAAAAGGTCAAACGGCTATTTGAACAATGAAATATACGGTGAAATCAGAGGCTCAAAGTGAATTGTAAACAAGTTTGAATAAAACAATTTATTGTCCAAATCGTATGGGGGAGATTCCGGGCATATGACAAGACAATCGTAATATGCCGCGCTGGTAGGCGCGCTGCGCGATGCCGTGCCCAACAGACGAGTTATTCTGTCCGACTGTTTCGATATGAGTGTCAGAATGATGGGGAAAGACTCATATCTACGTATCACAGGGGCTTTGTCTTTGCTTGAATTAAATAGGAGGTTCGATCTGGCAATGACAAAGAGATGTGCATTTGAGAATTTGCCACGATCGCCGCACGAATAGCAGCGCGCGAGTGACGCGACAAAATTAAGAATAGTCTTGACCGTCTCCTGAGCGGTAGTATGTAAGAACAGGATATCTTCGTCGTATGACATGTCGTCACGCGACGGAACTTTAAAATCGAACGATTCGTCCGGGTTACCACTGCACTGGATTTCATTCACAGCTTTCGTGAGTATCGCCGGGGTGGGTTTTTTTACTAGTGTTGACTCATGTTGCCTGCCGCCAAACCATGTTTACAAGCCCGAAAAATTTGAAGAAGTTTCCGGGTTTCAAAAATAGCGGCTAGAGGGGCGAAACAAATGAACGTGTGAAGATGCTAAATGGCTCGGGAATGAGAGGCAGAAAAAAACTGTTCATAAACGCAATGTCGAATTTCATGATTAGAGGACCATGCGAAAAATGGAGACGCAGAGACACTTTTCGGCTGCAATTTCGGATGAAAGAAAAAGCGGTCAAGCACAACCGCAGGCACTATTGACATTTCTGGAATTCAAACCTCAAAAGTTTGACAGAGTTTCGAGCCTTTGAAAGCTTCTGCATGCTCCCATAAGTGCGATAAGTGGCAGCGTTTTAATAGGCTGTCGATCTTACGCTCGCCTATATATGCGGAAAAATTCCAGCTTCAAGGCAATCGCGGCGCCATTTTCAGGGCGTAGTGGCTCAAGAAGTCTCTGGAGTCGGCATCGATGATCCAGCTTCAAAAACCCGTGCTTCTCGTGTAATCAACTCAGGAAATGTCCTGTTCTTCAATAAGTGTCTGATCTGAGGAACATGTCGCGTAATCAGTTGGGATACATTAGTCTCCGGCAAAGTGGCGAATCATACGACGCGTTTTCGTCAAACAGATTTTTCACAAATTCTAAAGTTTAAGGGTGTAAGAGATGCATGTGATTGGTGCGTGGCCGGCGTCCACCACTCATAGGAATCCTGCGCGCATCGGACGCGGAGTGAATCTAGGTTATCCTCATCGAGCAGCTACAATAAACTTACTTGCTAGATTTGTTATTAGTGGTCTGGCGAATAATTTGGCAGTATACTTCATCTCGTAGCGCAGGATTTTTATGGCAAAGTAGTAACAAACGGTATACAGCATCTGTAATGGTTTCACCACGTCGAATAGGTTCATCTCCCATATAACGCATGATACCTAAACATTTAGTTGTAAGTTTCAGAAAGCGACCCATTCTTGCATATGTTTCAAAAAATATTAGCTCAAGTAATTAAGTAGCAGTAAATGGAAAAGGTATTGTGACTTACAAAGGAAAGTTTCGCAAGCCAGCTTATCCAGCTCGTTGGAGTCAAATCGAATCAACGAATGTGAGATCGGTTTGTCAGTGAATTTTATCTTATGAGCAACGTCCTGCCACGTCCACTCTTTTCCTAAAAATCACTGAAGTATTTGATTTGTTATCTTTTCGAAAAAATGAATTTTAATTGCTCCGTTTCTACTACGAAAACAGACGTGACCTGAAAACGTGCACAAAAGTATTACCTCCTGGGCGCAAGTGCAAGTGATACCTAAACGGACGTGTTGTTTTGCTGCAATACATCTGGGCGTGGTCGGGGGAGGGTGGGTTTGGTGCGTCGCCACCCGCTCTCCACCAACTCGGCGAGGGGGAGGGGGCAGAAAAGCTGACGAAGTCACGTAGTCGCACAGCCACATAGTCCCTGACTAAGTGAGTCCTTTTTTGGAATGGGGCTGCAAACCTCGAGTAAATTAAGAACCAGCAACTCGTCCAGATCACCAGATTGCTGGACTCTCGTACAGAAACCCAATGACTGCGTAGTTTTGGGTGGGAAGCACTGATACGACAAGAGCGCCTAACGTAATTTGAAGGAGGTCATGATTCAGAGTGAGGTGACCACGGTGACCGTGGGTAGCGCTTCTCCTACAAATAAGGTAGTGATCCCTTCCCCTCCCCCTCCCCCCCTCCAGCCTCAGAAAGTGCAAATGACTGGGATCGCAGCGGGCCAGCGTCCTCGCGTTGTTCCCTTTAGAGCAGGAAATTGCAGGCCACGCGGCACGCCCGCCCTGCTTCTCTCGCAACAAGGAACGTGACCCAAACTCGCAATTTGTCGCGTCGTTGGCGCGTGCGCACTGACAGCGCGTGCGGCAAGTTCTCATTATAGTTCGATGTCGAATGGAGCAGCGGAATTTATGTGAGTTCAAACAGTGGCCAGACTCCTATCCCGAGTGATATCGATTTTTGTCGTCCCGGCGACATTTGATCTGAATGGCAGCGCAGAACAACTCGTCTCTCGCGTGCGCGGCGTCGCTCACCACGCCCAACGCAGCATATTACGATTGCCACACACCCCTCCCCGCACCTTCCACACCTCATTAGCGCCTTCAAGTCTGTAAAGAGTACAAATTAACATACTGTTCTTCTTCAGTGAGCTCTCAAATCCTTTCGGTCCACGGAAGTGATTCAAGGCAAATTCTAACATGGTGTATTTGAAACCATTTATATGACTGACATCATCCATGACGTCATCGTACACCAATGGCAGCGTCGGTGGCGAATCCTCGACTTCTCGCTATAAAATCATAATCAATATATTGGAAAACTAAGGTCTGAAACTTGTGATCTGCTATCGATTAGATAAAATTGACCAACATTGTTTTCATCGAGTGGGACGACATATTGTGCAGGAAGACTTCCGTATCGATTACCAATCTTTCCCGTACAACCACGACCCAGATGGTGCCACTTCACCACTTGGCAATGGAACCTATACAAATTTTTTATTTCCTGATTTGCTATAAATACTTCACAATAATTCTGAAGTTACCAGTTCAATCGTATCTCCCTTTTTAAACGACAATAGATTTGGCTGTTTTGTGACGTAGTCAGCTGTAGCGCGTACAAACTTCTTCCGCTGCAAAAGGATATGGTGAGCAGTGGTAGAGGAAATGTTAAAAAGCGTAATATGTCCTCAATCGATTGACAATTTTGGCGAGTCGCAGCGCATGTCTATGCGACGCGGTCATGTATGTAGAGTTGCAGGGATTAAACAGCTAATACCTGAACTTGTCCGTATATACACCTATCGATTTGTGCTTTGATCTGTGGTGCCATTTTAGTTCGCAGCCGAATACTGATTCCATTACGAGTATGCAAACAAAGCAGTTCATCGCTCTCCAATGTGATATCCGATAGATCGGAGAAACTAAATAAAAAAATTAAAAAATGCTAAAAACTGGTAGCGACCAATAAACATCAAATGCTAAAAACTGGTAGCGGTCAGTAAACACCAACTTCAGATGATCTTGCGGTTTGAGTGGATCCTCCTTATCTAACGGCGTATGAAGTAGTAATCGTATACCATGTTCACCTATCGAAAGCAGTACTGATACAGATTCATCGAGGCGCTCCTCTATGACCTTAATAAAAAACTAGTATTTTTTCACTCGGTTTTTCAACGTAGTCCATTAATGTTTATTTTCAATGACTTTTATTTGATAAATATTAAGTGATTACGTCACGCACCTCGTAAACCTGCGTGAAGTATAGCGGCCATTTACGAGCTGCTGTGATAACAGCTACTTTTACATCGACAGGAATCTCTGCCTGTCTGTTCAAAAGTTCGGGAGGAATGTTGTTAGCTTCTAAAGATTTGAAACTTGTGAATTACAGGAAAAGAAACAAAAAATGAAAATAGGAAAAAAGAGGGAAAAATCTATACTTAAACAGCGTCAAAAAATAGAGACAGCAGTTGTAACTCACTCAGAATGCTAACAACATCATCCCTTTCGTAGGCTCGAATACGGTAAGCGATACCTTTACGGCAGTCGGAAATAATCTGCGCAAATACCTGGTTGATGACGTGTACGTCATCCAGTTTCTCTTGCGGATGGAACATCTGAAAGAAGAGGTAGAGTGGTCAGCTCCAACTGGTATCACCTGCCCTGATATTGTCAGTGCTCCCTCTGCGGGATTCTACCCCATGAAGGACCTTGTAACGCAGTAAGCGTATTCAGTTAAACCACGGTCGAATGCGCCCTCAAAAGCGCGGTGTACGTTGGCAAGTGTCGGATATGGCCTTCAGATATGAGTCGCGGGGTGCTAAATTGCACACTTGTGAACAAGGTACAGCATCGTTGTGTGAAACACAGGAGGGGGGTCGTATTTGGTCGTTTTTGGGAGGGGGGGGTCGTATGTGCTTTCGAGACAAATTTGCCTCCTTGGAGAAAATTTTTCCCGTTGCTGACTTTTAGCGCTTTCCCGTTTCACACTGGCTATGTAACTAGTTGGTGGCACCGCCGAGTCGACGACCCCTTGAAATTGGAAACTTGTAGGAAAGTTGGGGGTAGGCGCAGGGGAGGGGAAAGGGGGGGGGAGGAAGACGAGACCCTCTTTTAGGTGTGGTGTCGTACCAAAGACCCTCCTTCAAGGGGGGTTCTTCTTGATGCAGGGAATTCGGCGAGGGAGGAGAGCTCTATAGCTGATTGTTCACGCCCTTTCACGCCACCAGAGCAACACATTCAAAGGCAGTTGGCACGATAATTTGGTATTTTGTCTATAATGGCAGCAGCGGTGCTAAATAGTGGGGAAAAAGGAGAAAAAGCGAAGTGAAAAGGTCGAAGCTCTGCGAAAAACTCTTTGTTCTACATGACTTTCCCGTTGGCATCGTGCCAACAGCCGCTACACAAAAATCCCTTTGTTCATACTGTACATCGCAAATGAAGCGATACGAGCATTGGGAAGGGCCGGACATTTGTGGGCGGGCGGGCGCGGTGGGCGTCCGGATCGGTATGTTGTAGCTATAGGGCGCTATGAGAATATCCCTTTAGAAAAGGCGCCACGCAGTGCTTGCTCAGGAGCGCCGAATTTAGTCCTGCTAGGCGTACTAGTCCTACATGTCTTAGAGATTCATCGTGCCAACTGCCTTTAAGAGGATCGTAGAGAGAAAAGCCTCATACGAACAACAAAGTCTACTCAAGTGATCGTACAGTGCGGCACTAATGGAATCAACAGTAATATATTTAACAAGATCACATGGGCCATGCACTATCGAATATTTAAAAGTAATATATTGACCGACCTCTTTCCTTATAGTAAGCTTCCATGGTTGCTTCATATAGCGGACAGCCGGTTTTTGATGGTTGTTCACAGTATCGGCTTCGTACTGCTGAGGAATGGTCGGCACTGAATGGATGTGCGTTATAGGATGGAACTTCAATATGAAGTACCCAGTTTAATAAATTTTTCGAAATGATTAGAAAATGTTCAATCGTACGTGAAACTGCTGGACTACGAGTGCCATCCATTCGATCAAACGGTCGTTCGACTTCACCCTCGTGGACCCATTCGCTTGGAGGATGCTCGCTCTGAAAATCGAATTTCGGGTAGTACCAAGCATTAAGAGAAATTGTGTGGCAGTCCCTTTTACTGACAAATTTTTTCTTTTTTTCCACAATGCTCTAATACATTACCACATTGGTCGGAGCAAGCAGCTCCGTGAAATATAGTCCCCGGATAAATCCTTTTCAGGCTGTTCAAAACCTGCTCCCCTGATGGTAGCTCTTTAGGCACCAGGTTGGTTTAGGAAGCGTTCATACTTTGCGACAGCGTAAATCAGCGACCAATAGCGTCCATCAACATTCCGAGCGTCCGGCATCAGCGAGGAGCTATAGATATCGATCTAGCGTCTACCAGCGTCCACCAGCGTCTCGAGGGCTAGGAAAGTACAGGTGCCGATCTAGCGTCTGCCAGCGCCTACCAGCGTCCTCCACCGACCGGCAGCAGACTGCTGGTAAGTGTGGTGCGATGGGAGGGTAAGAACTGTCTGCTACCCTCTTACCGTGCCAAACACCCTACCAACAGTCTGCTATCCTTCTATCGCGCCATACTCTCCACTTTCGCGCTGGTGGACGCTGGCAGACGCTGGCATACGCTAAATCGATATCTATACTTTCCTAGTCCGCTGACGCTGCCGAACGCTCGGAACGCTGATGGACGCTATTGGTCGCTGGTGGACGCTGCCGCAAAGTATGAACGCAGCTTTGGGGAGGCAGCCAGTGACTCATGTAACAGCTGACGAGGGCCGAACTCGCCCTCAACTGCTACCACGATTCGGAATGGGATCCGAGGACAAAGTGTATCAAGAAGGGAATAATCGACGTCAAATTTCAATCTTTGTGGTCTTGAAAACGTAGCTCCAGATAATTAATCATTAATTGTAATCATTTTAGTCAGTAAGGTCGTCGTCATAAATCATTGGTCTACGTATGGTCTACGTATCCTCGAACAACCTAACAAAAAAGGCTTAACGGATGCAAATGCATCAATTTCTCACATAGAAAAAATTGTTTCTCATCATCTCGGATGATGACAAATATCAGGTTTATCAGCCTTCATGTATCAGAAAAAAAAGCGATGATCGTAATGGCGGATATGACGTGGGAAACTGTGCGAGAACGAGGAAACGTAAAGGCGTTCAGAAAAAAAATCACAATTAAATTGCATGTACTATGTACACCATGTACATGTACATTATAGAGAACTTTGAACGAGTGATAAAAAATATGGAGCCGAATAAAACGTTCAGAAATTGATCATCTGGTTAACCCAGTCCGAGGGAGTAAGGGATTCAAAGAGGCATTCTGGAGCCCCGAGACCTCGTTCTGTAACACCCGATGGATCTTGGGCGTACTGATGGAGGAAAATAAGGGAGGTCTTGTTGGAAAAAACAATTTTCCACTAAACAATTTTCGACCCTGCTCCAGTATGATAGGATGGTGATTGAGCGAAAAATGGGTCAGACATGAAAAACAGACGATTAGCAATTGGATACGTAAATGAATCGAAAATTATCTAAGCCGATCGATTTCAGTTCCAGCCATCAACTTTTTCCACAGCCGTCGGATAAAGGAAGGTATATATGCTTGACATCCCGAATACGGGCCGGGCCCGGCTCCAAACCTAATTAGCCATAGGATAAAACTTTCATGGGGTATTCCTACTTGAGACATCTGTCATCTTAAGTTCTACTGGACAATGCATGGATTCAGTTCTTTCAAAGTGCATTCATATGCAAGCTGCGCCCAAGCTACACCCAACTGTCTTCTCGTGCGGCGTAATCGACCGTTTCTCCTATGGCTTCCGTTGCTTCTTCTTCATGAGACCAGCATGTCGGTCATAAAGAATGCGGCGCGTTCAGAGATGGCTGCGTTCACCTGATTTGGCGCAGCCGTCCACCAGCGTCTACACCTGGACAGGCCTGTGCGCTCGCCAGGTCAGCCACTAGGGAAAATACGTATTGGTCTACCCATTGCCAGCTGCTACGACATCAAGCGCTTCCGCGTGACCGGGTCTCAGAAGAATATGGGAAACGTACGGCAGGGTAGCAAACCAGCTGGATAGGCGTCGAAAGCGCCGCGTGTGCATGCAGTCGGCTACAACTACATGTCTCCTTGATACTAATGATCTGGCGGTGCCTTTAGCAGACTGCGTGTCGCCTGCACCATGCGCAATCTTTACGCCGACGCCTAACATGGGCGTGTTAACGTCTAATGCCGTCTTGGACTCCAACAGAACTGTTCGCACACCACTGCATTCAACTCTCCCATATGTATAAATTGCCTACAGTCAACCCAAAACTTGTATATAGGGGGTAGTTTGACATCCTGCTTAAGAAATACTGACTATTGCACTTGTTGTTAGACGCCTGGCGTCAAGGAGAGGACACCTAGGATACATCCGTGGCGCCCTTATCCAGGCGGAGCCTCAGCCTTCAGCAGAGCGCCAGATAAGTCGATAAGTGGCTTTCCCATTATAAAGCCGCTCGAGATGACAAGAGCGAATGAAATATCTATAATCAGGATAATTCACAGATACACATAGTACAAATTTTGCGAGAGGAGCAGTTCTCTGTGTACTTGCGCAAGTTCTAAAAAGAGCGGCGCTCCGGGCCGAACATTCTTGCGAGTACCAGAACGGCATTACGCTTTTGTGTAACGCTCCTACTCCCCCACATCTGCTGCCCGGTCGCTGGTGAACGCTCAGTGATGGCTGGCTAGACGCCGCAAACGCTAGATTGATCAACGCTGTACCCGTAAGCTCCACTGAGAGCTGTGAACCTCGATGTGGAACGCTAGATTGACTCATATGTACTTTCTTTGCCACTGACGCTGCCGGACGCTCGGAAAGCTAGTGGTCGCTGGTGGACGCTGCCACAAAATAAGGACACAGTTTTAGCTTCTTCACGGTGTGGAATGTACAAGCTTCGCTGGGTTTCATCCGTATCCTCACATGAGTCTACAAGTTTCCGCCACTTTTTTCACGCATGGGACCTAGCAAGATGCTCCCTCCGAAGCGGACCACGTTCATCGGGAATCAAACCACTACTTTGTCTAAAAGCATGCCCCAAGAGTCACTGCATGCGCTAAGAGTGCTTTCAGAGAACTATGACTTTTAGGGGTAACACCCCACCCCTCCCTCGCTTATCCTCATGAAAAAAAGGTTTCTAGTTCAGAAAGTGCCCCATGGAATTAGAAAATTCCTCTTCCTCTCTGGAGGGATAGTACCAGCAGTGTTCAAGCTATGATCCGACAAATTCGTTTATGTAGTGAGCACTCCCAGATATCCAAGATTGTGAAGAAATGGGTGCGGATCGCCATGTTGGGGAGGGGCATTTTGCGCTTTCATCACTTCCTCTATTCACCGGTTTACAAGGGTTGGCAGGTATTATTTACAAGATATGGCAGGCCGTCTCTACAAACATTGACCGGTATCACTTTATGACATCACAAATTTTCACTGATCTCTACTTGATGGCTCGAGTCGGTGGGAGGTGCAAAATGTCCCCTTCCCCCCCCTCCCAAGCCGAACTGTGCCCAAAGATGTTTTTCTCTGAAATTTTGGGGTGGCTATTAAGCCTGAAAGTGCTATCGCGCGTAACTATAACATTTTGCGGAGCCTTTTGTCCTGATAAGAGAGACGGTGATAAAGTGAAGCATTCGGTTAGTATAGCAAAAGGATCAAAGCATTACAAAGATGTGTCAAAAAAAACTTGTTAGTAACAAGCACATAAGTATACCTCAACTCCAATGTGGCTATGAGGACGTGCATAGATGTAAGGTTGTGGCTCCATTACAGCGAATACAGGATCAGGAGTTCGTGCAGGTGGCTTCTTCGGTAAATAAATCCGAACCTGGTCGACCGGTGGAGGTAGATTCTGTTAGTTAGAAGACTTGTTAATAGAAACACTGATCATAATGTGTGAGAAAAATGTAGTGAACAAATAGTTAGAAAAAATGGTACTGAACACGGAGTGCACTGTTTGCTCACAAAGTTGGAAATAATGCCATTAGGATAGCTTAGGAAGCGACAGTTAGTTGCTAACCGCAGTCAAAAAGGAGGTTACCGTTAGTACTGAGTGCATACATTCGAAATTACCTAGTGAAAAGCTGTTTGGCTAGAAAAAAGTGAAATATTCAGCGTGATGTGCGCGCAGTGTAATTCACGGCACATTAGTGGGCGTATATACGGCCAAAATCCCTGAGATGATGTAGGCGTGGCTGGGCTCTTGACTGGCAGCGGATAAGCTTTTCGTGAGATATCTTCATATTGGAGCAATTGTAATATGCCGTAAAAAATATTGAATATTGGGCACTGTTGAACTATTCCTACCCCAAAAACTGAAATTTTAATGCTGAAACACTGCCTCTATGTTGTACGATGTCCTGATCACGAATATGACATTCATTTTTCTTGGCGCTGACAGACCATTGCGGCGCGCAAATAGGGCGTCCACTGACGCGGATGCACTTTTTTCTTCACTCGATTTGACTGAAGATCTTCGTACGGTGGTTAATTTTCATCAGCCTTGATCAACGAATATCATTTTGACGCTGGCGCACATTTGGCGCACTAGGCGCCAAGTTGGCGGCACACGGTTTCCCCAAATCGTTAGGGTCTCTCCGTTTTTTTTTTTTTTTTTTTTTTTTTTTTTTTTTTTTTTTTTTTTTTTTTTTTTTTTTTTTTTTTTTTTTTTTTTCGGGCTGTTATGCCCTGCACACGGACTATCGCATTCTTCATTTTTTTTCACCAGCGCAATTTAAAACTCTAGGGCCGAAACGGGAGAAGGAGTGATTCCCTTCAGATCAGGCTCGCCTCAGAAAAATGTAGATGATTATAGTGTCCTACATTAGCGCCGGCGCCAGGAATCATATCTCATATTCGTAATCAGGATGTCAAAGAAACCCCAGTATATAAGTTTTCATCAAATTTGGTGACTTAGGGTGTTTTGGCGCCTGCGCCGGTGGCGCGGGTGCTAAAACTCCCTAAGTTACCAAAGTTGGGGTAGTAATCGTTGAAAAATGCCGAGAATTCTTGAACCTTAAACCCTGAAAATTCGCAGTGAATTGATAAAAGGGAGAGAGAATTCCGCCGCTCTCTGCCAAATTCCGTATGGCCGTTCAGAAGCGTACCCCCTAAAAGCCGCTTTGTTACCGTGCGCACCAGCGGTTTATGATGAAGATAAGATCGTGTGTGAGGGAGGTATCGGCTTCCATGTAGTTGATAACATTGCAGTCAGTAGGGGCGGCGTCAGGAGGGCGGGCTGAACCCGCCTGCGGCTGCTTTACTCTACCAATAGCGATCGGTTAGCGATCGAAATGGGAAGAGAACAACCAATGGGGAAAACGCCGCGGGTGAGCTCGTTCCATCCATCGTAGGAACGCCTAGATTGAATGCGACGATATCAACTGCATATTTGGAAAATCATAAGCAAAATACTGAAACAAGCATAAGTGCAATCGCGGCCTGGTCAGATTAGCACTACAAGCGTGAGCAATCCAACGGGTGTCAAGTTGCTTTTTTTATCAGAACCCATCTCCTTTATTTTAGGATTGGACCACACGAGACCGGAAAACTTGGGATATGCGCTAGATTCTATGACCTGGCATGACCATGGGACTCATAATATTTGCAAAAATAATTCCAATTCGAATTCCCAGCTAATAGCAAAGAACCCGCATACCTTGAGGCGTTCATTGATTTTTCTTAATGCTTCTTGTTCCTTCTGTTGAATCTCTTTAACGAGATTCTTCTCCGGAATACGGAATTTACGCGGATTCGGATGTTCCGAATTAATTATCGTGTTCTGCACAACAGGCTCGCGATATGCATCTTGTGGAAGCCGACTCAAACCCTGAAATCATTCGCCATTCAGTAAGTACATATAATTATCGATTGATTTGATCTCTACAACCTCAACATCAGAGAGCATTACCACGCGACGGTGCTATGGAATCGCACTTTCCGGGATGCAGCATCAGGAAGGGTAAAATGGCAGTGTCAGAACGCACCCCTACAGAAATATCCTCCCCTAGGACAACCCCTTTCCACTCCGACTAAGTGAGACCCCGACCCCTTTACGATGCTCCACCCAATCTCATTTGAGCTCCCTGAGATGAGTTTTAGCTGAGCGCTGGCTCTGCTTGTCTGCGCTCAACGAAGGCTATGCCTTTGGAGACAAGGGACCATTTCCTCGCGCCGTCTCATGACTCGTATCAACAACAGTAGCGCCCGAAAAGGAAAAAAAGAACTCTAGTAAAAAAGAAGTAAAAAGTACATTCTGCCTTCTTTCTGGTACAGGTGACTTCATCGGTGATGGCGATCGTGGTAACGGACGCGGTATCGCGCCGGATTGGTCTGGCCTTAAAAGTTATAATGTAGACAGTGCAGAAAAATTTACTGTAGCTGACTGCTGAGCAAAAGAAATTAAAAATAAATTAGTGTAATATAAAACATCAGTATAACAAGAAGTTATAATAAATTGCCTGGTTTAGTGTTTGGATATTTTTATTGGCCGCGAAAGAAGAAACAATCAGAAAAGAAACGCCACTCACTACATTGGCAGAATATCCGAAAAACAAAAATAGAAAAAAATAATTATGGGCTAAAAGTGGATCGAAAACAAACTGGTTTTACCTTAGCGCCGACATTGATCCTGATATTCCGTAACCAGGATTTCGTGGGTGATGTTGTGGAGACTGATTCTAAATTGGTACTCATCCATAAACTAGTTACTTCCAAACTCAAAATTGCCCTTACGGAAGTTGATTTTGGTAGATCACAAATAATGAAATGAATGAGAAATGAATAATTGTGCAAATAAAGGAAGAATTTCATGTAGAAATGATAGAGGACCTATTACCCTAGGTGTTCCTTGCACGCTATGTTCCACAGGTTAAGTGAAATAGAAAATATCTGCTAAGAAGTAAAAAATTTCACCGTTTTTCCGAATTTGATCAATAAGCAAATATCATTTCAACACCGTGTGGGGGTTGAACACTGAGCAGCCGAAACGTCGGGCTTGATAACGCGACAAAGTCGCTTTGAGAGCGTTGCGGTTCGTCGTAGCATATTCTTATCAACACAATACGTCGTAAATGTTAAGTCACTGAATTCTTGACGATCTGCCAAATCGTTATTCGCCTTAAGGTTGAGCAATATGACAACTTCCAGCTTTGTTATGTCCCCGCTTTATTAGAGAAATCCGCGCTTCTACGGTTACGATGCGGAACCAGCCAGCAGATTTTCCGGCACCGTCTAGCTGGGGCCACGATTCAGCCGGAAGAATGTGTGCAGTATGTGGGACTAGGTTAAAAAATGACATGAGGAGGCTCGGCGTCACATAGATGGAGGGCGCGGAGGGGGAGTGGTAGGCCAGTCGCACTCTGTCCTTCTCCATGACCAGGTTGATTGCCAACCCTTATGAGTTGTGAGCTCTATTCAGAGTCAAACCTTCTCAAGGGGCTGGAGAACGTCCCGCCCGCAGCGCATCACACCCATTTCCAGGTTCTTTTCACTCGTTCAGCCCCCCTTGAGCTTAGCCACACCGGACAAAGACTTCATGCGGTGTACATTGACGGTCATCACAAAGCCCTCAGGGTCGCTCAATGAGGATTCAAAGACAGTCCTCGTGATCAAGTGGTCCGCGAAATGCCCCCTGTGCATTTGGCGACTCGGGTCCGCACTGGCAGAAAATGTACCAGTTTCGTCACTCGAAATCGCGATATGAGGGAGCTAGAAATGCAAGGATATTGCGAAATTTGCCACCAAAATTACTTTGACTCTGCAAGACAACGCCTTACAAGCGAAATTGAGTGCGCGCATAGCGTTGCGGAGCGTCGTCGGGCGATTGCCTATGCTACCTGGAATTGGCTGCACGTCAAATCCTGCTGATTGGGCTTGTCCGACGTCCGACAAACTCGTCCAAGGCACCGTCCCACTGCTAAGGGGGTCTCTGTTCAAAGTATTCCAAGTTTTTTTTTTGCTTCTTCCTCTATTGGGGAGTTACTTATGGGCTACTGGTTCTGACTGAGCACCTACTACCCGTAACGTTTGAATCGTGCAGATTTGTTTTTGACCGCATAGACAACTGTAAGGTTTACCACAGTTGAGGTCACGCTCGTGGCACCATTTGTTTCCTTTTTTAACAGTTTTTCAAAACCCCGCAGTAGGTAGAGTAGAGGGGACCACTATTGGGCTTCACATTGAAGGGCTTTTCCATTCTGTATATTTTACTTCATCGATGATTTTCCGAATTCGTAGGGCTTTTCACGGCAGGAGCGTGATCGCTTTCGATTGGGATCCTTTCTCGTTAATAATACAAATGCAAAATAACTGATTTATAATACAAATGCAAAATAATTGCAAATCAGCACGAAAGGGACAAAAATATGCAATAAAAAAATGGCCCACAACTTTAACGCACATGAGGAAATTGAAGTTTTTGAAATATGAAGCCGCCCCCCACCCTCGCCGCCCCCCCGGAGACCTCTCGCGCATACTGCTGATATCGCCGCAACAAGTCGGGCATCGACTATCATTGGTTGAAAAAAAGTTGGAAGAGGGCTTATTTCGCCACTCCAGCACCGCCCCGACTGATTGCCACGATATCAACTATACTTGACGGCCATCTGTGTGTGTTCGCGTGCAGCGGGGAAATCAACAGCCACAGAAAAAATTCCGTACAGGAAAATATGTACGACCCCCTTTTCACCACTGTTATTCTTTTCTCCCTGTCCAGCATTTACGAGTTAGTAATAAAGTGACTCATAAGTGGATTCTGCCAGCAAGCAAGTGCTGTAAGGCATTGATTATTTTGGAGGCCAATCAGCGTATATGCACTTTTAAATCAAACAATTTCTGTCACGTTCAATTGAAAAATAGAAAGAAAAAATAGAGTTGCACTTCTGAGGGGCAAGAGTTTAAGCTGATCAATTATTCTTCCTTACACAGACGTTGTACTTCAGTTTTCATGAATCTGACTAGGATACCAACATCAAACTTCCATCTGCTCCAGCCCACCCACTGAAAGCTGATGGTTCCAATGATCAGTCTTCCAACTGACAACGTCCTTATTTGTTGACGTTTGGTGACCCGGGGAGGGCGTCGTTTTAGTCTCTGTAGGGAGCGAGGAAGGGTCGTATTCACCTCGAGGAGAAGTTCGAAGGTTGTTGATTTGCTCGGTTTTCTCTGTTTACCGTTTTTGAGACCCTCCCGCCCCGGTCGATCGGCAGCTTTTCTAGGGGTCAAAGGAGGCTTTTTTTGGAAAATTCCGTAAAAAAGGGGTGGAGTTAGGAAAATCCAGGAAGCATGATGGTAGGCATGGGTGTGCGTAGTGACAGTGCGCTGCGTTATCGAAATAAGAAAATAAGGAGAGATCGTTCTTCGCAAAGTGTTTCCCAACGGCAGGATATGCCCTTAGCGGATTTCAGTACCATCGGACACCCTTAATTCAGGTGGTCCTTTAGCATGCTAACGTTCGATACTCGTATTGGGTTTTAAATTCCAGACGTAATAACTTTCTCACGTTCAGTCTTCTTTGGGCTCAGGTTAAGACAAAGAGTAACTTTCTGCAAGAAATGAGATTGAAAAGGAAGCAAAATAACTGACTTCAAGATTAGACAACACTAGCGTTAACTGTAAATCTTTGAACAAGTGAACTAAAGGTTAAAAATAAATGAAACGACGGTGTTGATGAAATTCCTCTCAGAATGCGCCGTGCATTCTGCTACAATTCATGGCCAGTGATATTTTGGATGAAACTGACCGGTGCAGCCAATAAACATTTCTGTGCTTTCACCTTCCCTGTCTTTCGCCCATTAACTGGTGAAAGGTCTGGTTGGCTCGGGTGCGAGGCGCGATGTGAGGTTTGGCCCTTGGGACATGCGCGTGCAGCACTGAAACACCTCCACCAACAGTAGTCCCATGCACACGTAAAAAACGCCCAGAAAAATCTAAGAGATCAGGCCTACATGGGTGACTCTGAAAAACGTATGTCACGGCGATGTAGCTGAACTGCATCATATAGGCGCGCACTCCGAATATGATCTCCGGAATGGAGAATGAAAATCTATCTTGGGTCTCACAAGCCTTTACCTAAGATTAGGCAAAGCCCCTCCGCCCATAAGAAAGTTATAGATATGAAGCATGGATGGGAGGGAACATGGACCGAAGGGCCCATTCGGCTTACTCAATAGGACAACCTCACCTTGATGTAGGTCCCTTCGCATAACGCTGACCCTGCAATGCACTTGCAGACGAAGTGCACGTGATAAAACGTCAGCACGAAAATTGTACGACCAGTTCAGAGCAGATAAGAAATATGAAAAAACGGGTAAGTGAACATCACACTGCATCATTGTACAACACAGAAGTTACTCGGTAACAGCCAAGCGCTTGGAACAGGAACGATTTGTCAGTTTCGCGAATTTGGCAGTTGGTTGCATACGCTGGTCTCTTGAAGATATTATTGACTGCTGTAACGCCCAGTAACGCTGCGCGACGAAAGGGCGCAGTGTCAAGCCTGGATGAGTTTGGAGGGCGTGTGTCAAGCTCGTTTCTACAACCAGTAGTTTCAAGAGAGGCAAGTTACAAGACTGTATCATATCATCGCATCGTTTCGTTTCCTAGCGATTGTCGTCGCATACCCGTCCGCTTGCAACTGGCTGGCACTGATTTGGGCGCCATAGGCACACATCCTGCCTGACACGCCCCTTCGTCCGCAGCGAAGTAAAAGTATAATCTTCTGCGCAGCTCGTCATGCAATGCTTAGAAGAATGTCGACCAGTCATGGGTTACGCGGAAAGTTTGCTGTCACAACTGGTAGTCGTGCTCTTCGGGTACCCATGTGAATAAAAAAGTAATTGTAAATAAACCAATTATGAGAATTAATGTCTCTCTATATTGAAGAAGGAAGCATGGAGACCAAAAACGCAATGGATGAACGTGAGTCCTTAAATAAATACATACAGTCGTTTTCGCTGCACACTACGGATTGAGGGCGATAGGGGGGGGGGGGGGGGGGACTGGGGGGAAGTGGGGGGGGAGGCGAACTAGGCGCGGCTCTAGCCGCTTTTTTCGCCCTTTTCTTCATAACCGATTGTGAAGCTTGGCAAGCGACAAAGTTGATTGAATAGCGGCGCCAAATCCCAGCCTTCACCCCTTTGCAAGACCCAGCGGTCAGCGAAAACCACTGATGATTAGGGCACGTCCAAGCCGCTGGGTAGATATTTTCAGAAAATAACGACACGCCCGCCCCCTGCGAATTCCTCTTCTAACGGCCCCCTCTCTTTCCCATCCTGCTACCGTTTTCCAACTAAGATTTTACCAAAGCTTTTCTGACGCTTTTACTGTTTTCCGGAATTCTCTAAATTTTTCTAATTTCTTACCCGAATTTCCTGCTGTCGAGCGAGGCTGGGTCGGCAGAGGGAGGGGGGAGGGGGGTATATGGCACATGTAATACGAAACAAAAGACCGCGAGAAGAAAACAATCGGGAAGAAGTTTTTTCCCCAATGCAAAAACTTCCTACAAAGGCAAACACGACTTCCTCTCTCTCTCTCGCACGAAACAACGAAAATACGAGCAACTACGATCCCCCCCCCTCCCCCCAGCCCCCCGGAATTCTCCAACGACGTCAGAGAAAAACGCCCCGTGGAGACACAGGAAAACGCAAGTGTCTGAAAAAAATCTTACTCGGACCAAAGTACGACGCTCCCCCTTCCCCTCCAGCGAACGCAAACACCACCCTTAACCCCTTCCCCCCCATTCCCCGATAGGGATTGCCCAATGTAGCGGACGTGGTCCTGCGTCTGTTTAGAGTTTTTTTGTATAGTTGAAAGAAAAACACAGAAAGCAATTGCAAAGGGAGTCCATTTTCACAAAAAATAAATGAACCAAATAAATAGAAAAATAAACTGGATCTAATAAGATGTTAAAGATATGCTATTGAAATGTTGTGGCACGAAATGCCTGTCACGTAATTCGAACAACATTAGTTTGAAAAAAAAATCGATTCTCATCCAAGATCCTTCACTAACACTTTACGACAACATCTATACAGTGGCGAAATAGAAGGGGAGGGAGGGGGAGGGGGTGTGACACCTGCAAAGCCCCAGTGGTTGGTGGCTATATGTAATCCACCAACCGCGTGTGGGCTTCGCAGACTAAGTGTAGTCATGATCTCTGCAAATGGTGGGGCGTGTGAGAGGGCGTGATCTGGATCGCAGCCAGTACAGCTCGTTCCAGCAAATGCAGCTGACTCAGGATGACATCATTGAATAGAAGGCTGCCTTGGCAGCGCTCCAGTCCAACCCTCGTCACACGCACTATCGTTTGCAAAGAACAGGAATGTATTTTGTGTCGAAATATAAAAAAGAAGTCAAGTGCTGATTACAGGCAGCTGGCTGGACCATGACAAAACATGATTCATTACCTTTTATTTTAGAGCGTAGATGAGTCAATGTAGTAGATACTGATTTCAAAAGACGCTTATGAGAGATGGACGATAATAGAAATTGACGAATTTGGTGACACAAAATCTTTGAGGACTGGCCTTTATCAGAGTATCGAACTGGGTCATATGAGAGCGTTGACGTGTATCTTCCAAATTTGGTTTAGCTCACAACGCTAATGTACTCTTATCATAGAGATAGAGAGAATAAAAAGCTCTATTAATGTTATCATGTAGAATTAATGACATTAAATATGTACTCTTTGCGATCAACTTCCGATCGAATATTGATGAATAATCGAGTTGGAACGTACACCTACTTGTTGTTGGTGTGGATGATAACCAGCACCGTCATCTGTGGTCGTCGAGCAAGCATCTAATGAACGATGACGCCTAGGAAGAAAAGGTTACCACCCCTCAAAGGCATACTGAAGGATTACTTGCGATGGGCACACCTTCCTTGTACACTCCATATCTGGAAAATGGAGGGGGCGTGGCTGCGTACTCCACCTGAGCACGGCATAGGACGTGTTTCGCGCGGAGTGTTTCCATGTGAAGCCACTGTCATCTTATCTCGCGCTGGGTAATGATTACTCTTTTCCTGAAGGGCCAGTATCGCAGGCCGCCGCCACTTTCAAATTAAGCACACAGCCACGCCCTCTCTAACTCCAGGATGTGGAGTGTACGAAAAGCGCAGGTGCGTGGCTCCCGAAGAATACCTTTTTTTATCAGCAAAAAGCGGACAGAAATGAAGCTGGATGATTAGGGTGTGTAGCTGGGGAGCTTTCCATGTCACCACCCACCAACTAAAGAACAAGGAATGAGCAGACCCCAAGGACAACGCCAGTACGCTACACGGCGCAACATAAGCGCTAACCATACGCGCAACGCTTCTTGTCTGCGCTCTCTAACATCTGAGCTGAGCGCCACTTTTCTCTACCCTTCAGCTCGACGCGGGTGATTAGACACGGTCCGTTTCGGGATGCCAGTCGCTTAGTCCAATGCGCATGAAGCATACTGGTAACATGGCCAAACGTGTGGCGTGGGCGCGGTAGCGTATCGAATAGCGGACGGGAATACAAAAGAGAGGTGGCTGTCGCAACCCTCCAGCTTCATTCACGCGCACATCCGAGTTGCGAAAAGCCTACGGTTGCCGACCATGCGGGCACCTTCTAACAGAAGGGGAAAACGCCTTTTTCTAGGTAACTGCACAGTGTGTCTTAAGTTTATGAAAGCTGAAAGTAAACTGACCGATTCCTTGGCGAAGTCATGTACTTTTGCTGAGCTGGCATTGGGCAATACATCTGAAATGGGTTACTGTTGAAGCCTAAATTATTCTTCTATCCATAAATGTGTAACTAACTTTGAACTCAAACCTTTCGAACTTACTGCCAAACTGCAAACTTTGAACGTTGAGCACAACGGAAAACATTCGGTTTATCGAAGGCTTAGTCAATTCTTGGGGCAAAAAACCCGAGGGCGGAGGCGGTATGTGACAGGAGGACATCGTAATATGCCGCCCCTCCTCACGTCGACGTGGCCGAGCGAACACCACGCCCGACAGAGGAGCTGACCTGCCCGTGAACTTTGGCGGTAAAAAGACGGGAAAACTTGATATAATACGCCATGGACTCATGTCGCGCTTAAATTCATAACGTGTGTCGTCCGCGCAACTGTAGCGCGCGCGCGCGGAGGCGCGTCAATTGCTGATTTTCCTTGCCCCGTTACCAGGGCAATCTCTGAAAACTACTGTGCCTACTGCGCATTCCCCGTTGACGGGCTCGTCCTCCCACCGTCTTGGGAGATAAAGAAGTACATCAATGAGGAAGACCAAGTAGAGAGCCCGACTCCGACCACACCATTGGTTTCTGAATCCTTCTTAGTTGAAACAATTTCTGTTTCTGAATAATGTTGAGCTCAGGTTTCTGCCAACCCTACCATGAGTAAGTTCCGCTTTATGCAATCCTGCTCTCCGCTTCCTTGACTATGTCAAACTATGGAATTGATAAATTACTTCCTGTCCTCAGGCTTCGTGCCCTCCTCACTTATGTGAGCTACCCGAGCAGGATTCAGGATGGTTCTCAGAGGTCAAGAAGTAAAACTAATGCCTGGTTTTTTCCAGGTTCGAAAAAACTTATAGACATAGAGACATTAGAGTATACTCCAAAGTAGACTGCAGGCCTTATCAGATATTTCTAGAAACGCCCAAATACCCACTTTCCCCTATTTCGAAAGGGTGCGTCCGTTATTTGTCATCAGTCTTATGGTCTGGGCCGTCGATGATTGACGTTCATTAGCAGGGCTATAATACTTTATCGCACCGATTGCCACTGTTTTCGTATGTTTGCTATCTCATTGGGTACAAAATGTGGCTTGTCACAGCTGCCGCAAACTTCTGAAAGACCGCCATGGGAGGCTGTTTAGTACTCCACGAAACTGCCGCTACATTCTGGTTCCTCGTGAGGAATACAGTCTTGATCCCTGTAGGCGATAGGGGTTGTGACGTGACGCGGTTAGAACGCTGCCAAGGCGGCCTTTTTCCGCCTATGATGCCATACTGAGCCCGCAACTGGCGAAAAAGACTGCTCTGGCCAGGGTGCAGCATCGTGATGGTGAAATGGTAGTTTAGGTACGATCCCCCCTCCGAGAGAGGGTGTCA